ATATAATATATATATGCCCAAAAAGATCACAAAAAACAAGTGATTTCAGAATATGCAAAAAAAACCACTGTTTAAAGAAAAAAGGGAAATTTCCCCAAACGCTTTCGTGACTACTCACATTATCAAGGAAAAATGAAAGTAAAAACATCAAAAAAAAGGTATTAAAGGGGGCTAGCCAACACCTCACTTTCAAGGGTCCCACCCCAAAATTTTTAAACACCTGGGCGGTGACTCATAAAAAGGGAACACTTTCGGGAGGGGCCCGCCGGCCCCAAATAGGGAAGGGCCTTCATACAAACCCCCCAACAAAATATTTTAAACCCAAAAAATAAGAAATTTTAAAAAAATTTTTATTTGTCCCCGGATTAAATTTAATTTTTTTTTCCCAAATTCGTTTTAAATTTTAAAAAGGGTCAATTTATATAAAACCCAAAAGGAAAAAATTTAAAATTTATATTATTGTGAAAAAATGTTTTTATGGGAAAAAAGATTCAATTTTAAATTCCCGTCGACCAGGACTTGTTGAAATACTTTCCAACTTTTTGAAAATCAAAGGGAATGGGGTTTTAAAAACTCTTAATGAATAAAAAGAGCATTGGGGAAACTTGTCCAGTTCTAATGCTATATTTTTTGTTGTTTTTAACTTATTCGAGAAAATTTTTTCCATTGGGCCGAATAAAAATTTTTTGCAAATTTTCAAGGAATCTTTTTGACACATTCATCCCCAATTTTTTGGGGAATTCTTTTAAACAAAAGGTTTTTTTTTCTGTATCCCAAAATTTTTTTAATTTCAACTTTTAAAATTAAAAAATTTAAAAGAAAAAGGGATAAACCCAAACCAAATTTTCATGTTTTTGGGAAAAAAAACTTTTTTTTAAAGTTGACAAGAATGGTTTTACAATACCGACAAGAAAAGAAATTAAGGGCCATGTGAACAACTGGGTATCTTTTTTTGTAGCGTTTCGCAATAACCCCCGTTAGTATATTTTAAACCAGGCCCTTGCTTTTACTTCAAAACTCCACCACTATGGTGCTCTTTTGCCCCCCTACTCCAAAAGGGGTTTGGGGCTGATTCCCCCATCATTTTTTTAAATAGTTCTACTGTCTTCCCAAATTTTTTCCCGGAATTTGTATTGAAAAAAGCCCCTGGATGGCGAAACGTCTACAATAAAGATACACAGATGTTGCACATGTGTCTTAATTTCATCTTGGCGGTATTGTATACCATTCTTGTGCAACTTGTCAGACACTGCAACATTATGGAATCTTGTTTCTTAGAACATGTACATAACCTTCACGACTACGACAACTACTACTACAACTAACCCATCTCTTTGGGTAGGACCTACTTCCACTGGGGAATCCCGCCTACCAGTGACTATGCCCTCGTCTGCTACACGTCCCATTTACACCTGACGTTAGTATATAAGCGTCAGGCGCCTTGCTTCTGCTTCAGAATCTCCACGACTACGGTGCTCTTCGCACCTACTCCAAGGTTGAGGGACTGATTACCTCATCTGTGAATAGTTCTACTGTCTTCAAGTTATGTCCTGGAATTTGTATTGATAAAGCCACTGGATGGCGAAACGTCTACAATAAAGATACCCAGATGTTGCACATGTGTCTTAATTTCATATCATCAACATATTTTTAGTTGAATAAGGCTGGTTGTCCCTTTTTGGATTGTAAAAAGCATTTCTAGCAACTTTAAAAGATTTATCAATTACATTTCTTGGGTATTTCAAATCATTACTCATTTCATAAATTTTGGATATTTCCTCATCTATGAACTCTGGACTACATTCTATAAACTTTACTGTTGAGTTTGAAGAAAATAACTCATTGCCTTTTCTAGATGTTTTAATTATTAAGGGTAATAATTAATTCAAATTTAAAATTTACAGAAAACCTACAAATAACTGTTCCTATGTCCACTATTATTCTTCGCATCAAGATAGAGTTAACCTGTCTGTTTTCTCATCAATGTTTTTGAAAGCTTTACGAATTTGCAGTCCAGAGTTCATAGATGAGGAAATATCTAAAATTTATGAAATAGATAATGATTTGAAATGCCCAAGAAATGTAATTGATAAATCTTTTAAAGTTGCTAGAAATACTGTTTACTATTCAAAAAGGGACAACCAGCCTTATTCAACTAAAAATATGTTGGTTCTCCCTCACCATGAAAACTTGGTTGATATGCCTTCTCTTCTTAAGACTTTTAATATTAAAGTTGTATTCAAAAATCTTGATACAGTAAAAAAAACTTTTGATAAAGAATTCCCCCCCCCCAAATACTGATGGATGTGTCTGTAAGATTCCTTGTAAAATTTGCGATGAAGTTTATTACGGTCAAACTGGTAAAAATCTCGAACTAAGATTAAAACAACATAAATATAGCATTAGAACTGGACAAGATTCCAATGCTCTATTTATTCATGTAAGAGATTTTAACCATTCAATTGATTTTCAAAAAGTTGAGAAAGTAGTATGAAGCAAG